AATCGATGTTCGGAATTTGCAGGAAGTCTCCTATCTGAGAATCTGAGATGCCACCGGTGAGGGCTCTTGCAGGGCGGAGTTCTTCAGTGCAGCGAGCTCAGGCGAGCACCGAAAAGGCTTAGTGCAAAGACAAGCAGCTGACTCGGACGACATATGCCTGTGCGCCAGAGACCCCGTCAAGCACATGCTCGATTCGACCATGACAAAGAAGAGATGAAGTGAACTATGCGACCCCTGCAGCATTTTCCGCGACAAATACTCAAGCACTGAGAGCATGTTGTTTTGTTCCTGTTTGGAGGTTTCAGTTTGTTAGGGATTGCTGGCATCCCACTGTCTTCGCAACTCAGTCGGAGTGGCTGGAGAAGTTGCTCCAGCAGCTCGCTGCGCAGCTGCAACTGAAGGTGCTGCTTGGAGAGCTGGTGAGAGGTTGAGCACACAAAGAGAGCGAGGTCAGTTCTGTCCTTTGCCGCAATCGGCCTAAAGGCGAAGTTTTCAACAACCTGCTCTGCAAACCCAGCAGAGACCTACTTCTACCTGTCTTCGATTCAACAAGCTCAGTCTAAGACTGCCTTCCATTCGACAGCTGGGTGCTTCTTTCGGTGCCACGTCAGTCTGATCGTCGGCACGGTTTGGTGGACCTACTGATCTTGGGGGCGGCTCATGCAGGAGATTTGCTTTGCTGCGACGCCGCACTGATGCACTGCCTTCCCCATTGACCCGGACAAGCCGGCCCCCTTGGGCGGCTATGACTGTGTCAGACGGCACGGAGCCTCAAAGGGAAACACAACAGATTTTCAAGGGCCATGTCTTTCAATTTAGTTTCAGCGGCAGGCCTGAAGAAAGCTTGCAGCCACCTGTTCGACCGATGGCAAGACTGATGCTGCAAAAGTGCAGGCTGCAGCTTCTTCTGAACCTTCCTGTATGTAGGGACCGGGGCCACGGATATTCATGGACCCGCTTCAGTGAGACAGCGAATTCCACTGCAGAAGTTTCCGATTTACTCACTTGATACAGAAGCTCCCCTGAAGGATGGGCTCCGCTTACAGCCCAGCAGCTCTTCGAGGGAGACGTCCCGGCTCTAAGCCACCATGTCCAGGACTCTGGCATGGCCGCTGCAGCGCCTTAGCCCAGCATAGCCCGTTCCAGGCCCAGCCCCCACTGCGCAAGGTTTTCTTAACTCGGCCTTTTGCCTTGCTCCCTTTTGGGGTTTTTTCGGCTCCCCCTTTTCATGCCTCTCGCTGGCCAGCGGTGCGAGACCCTGGCCTTGGCCCCTTCCAGCGGCTGAGCTGCTCATGAGGGCCTTTGAGCCGGCGCAGACCCCATGTCGCAGAGGCTTCCATTAGCTGAGATGCTGGCGGCACTTGCCAGGATGTGCGAGGCGGCGCATTGGGCAGTGACTCAGGTGCACGTGCTCAGTGCATGTCTCGCCCTCGGGCGCATCCGTCAGCCACCAGGCCCAGGTTCTGTGACGCTTCGGCGTCGGCAGCATGAGCCTGCAATCTCGCCCGGCGCCCGGCGCATCACATGTCACATTGCATGAACTAGGCAGGCCAGGCAGCACTCGCAGCTCTTCGTGAAATGGTTTTCTCAGCACAGAATTGGGCAGGGTGCACCAACTCCACACCGTTCCAAGAGACCTGTATTTTGCAGGAGACCTGGGCCTGCTCGGCAGAGCTTGGGTGCAAGATCCTGAGCGCTTCGCGCCGTCAGCGCACTCGCCGATTCTGTGGCCAATCAGTGTGCCGATGATGTCACCAGCTCGGTGCCCAAGCTGAGCTGGACCTGCTGCACCTGAAGCTGCCAACCATGCAAAGCCGCGAAAAAGCCAGCACAGTATCATTCATGCCAAAACATGGTTGCCGCCGTCTTCGCCGCGATAAGTGCCTTCCACTTCGTCAGAAGAGCTGCCGGAAGTGCCCTCATTTGCTGGCTCTGCGCGCAGTCAACCCACAATGGAGACCAATTCGCAGTCGCCCCTTCCGTCACCAGAAGAAGGCGGGACCCTGACTGATCCCGGAAGGAGAAGCTGAGCCTCTGCCTCCGCTAGCACCCTAGCACCCCGTGCTCTCGCCAAACACCGCCGGGTTTGAAGAGACGAGAGGGGAGCGTGAAGAGCGTTAAGATATGGTGAGTGCTCCGATGTGTCGTCATCAGGATGCGTGAGATTGAGAAGACTGAGGACCACTTGGCACCACTTGAGATGGACTGTTCCTCGGTCAGCGGCGCTGTCAACAGCTCCGCACAGAACCCTGCATGTGTGGTCTGGTACACCGGAGGCACCCATGCCACAACTGTGAAGTGTGATAAGTGCGATTCCCGGGTGAGTGCTGGCTTGGTGGACCCACTGGTACTCTCTATTTACCAAGCCTCCTTAGGCCAGTGGCTCGTGTGCCTTCGCTTCTCACCATGGGCCGTTCGCGCGGCTCCGCCAAATCGCTGCGCTGTTTCTGCCTTTGCACATGGCACCACGAAAAGATCAGGGCATGTTGTGCTAGGCACACACGTCTTTTGCACAGCTCATTTGTCCGGATTCGCTCTCTGTCAAGTCAGACATGCACACAGGAGGTGTGCGTACGCCGTAGGTCCTGATGTTGTTCGGTCTGCTGTTTTGACAGCTGTGGCACTACCCACTCCCCCCACAGAGGGGGCCTTTCTGCTTGCCGCATGGCTGAAGGCCCTGCTTGCAGCGAAGGACTCTTCCAGTCGTGTGGTCTTGACAAGGCCGAGAGAGTACGATTTGCCATGCACGACGACGCAGCAACCCCGTAGCTTTCGAGGATCTCACAGGCAGCTGAAGGGTAAGGGCATGAGCCTTGAGAGCTCGCGTCTAAGCATCAATGTGTTACGGTTCGCTGCTTTCCCTGAGGCATCCGTTTCAATCCAGACACCTCCCAAGCAAGACGTGAGGGCGATCAACGGTCCCTTCCAGAAACACTGCTGCCTGGCGATGGCTATGGCCGTCACAACCGACGAGTTCGACAGACATGCGGTCTTAGCCGTGGATCACCTGACGCCGAGCATCTGGGCACAGCTGCTGGCTGCAGTCGTCCGGATTTCTGCTCGAGGCAACACCTTAAGTGTTGCCGTCTTGCACACTCTGCCAAAAGATTGCCAAACTCCACCAAAAGGAGCTGAGCTGTGCTTCACTCCGAAGTTTGCAAGCTGCAGCCGGCACCGATTCTCGGAGTGTCACCCGGTCATTCCGATCACGCTTTTCTGTTTCAGAACTTCCAGCGCCAGCGGCAAGGCAAACTAGCTTGGACCAGAGGTTCGCTGAAAGCCTCGGCCTTGGCCTGCAACTTCCACAAATGCAGCCTATGCGATTGCGAAAGCCAGATCTGACCGTAGGAGTTGCTTCTGGGGCTCTCGCCTTGAGGCCGACGGAGCGCTGGACACCCCCTACACCGTGCCGCTCCAAGCTTGAACACGCATGCAAGGCAATGCTGCATCGTTGAGAACTGCGAAGTACGGAAAGCGAGCGAAGCTCTGCAAGCCCTTGCAACAGATGAAGTTGTGGTAAGAGCGCAGCTTGGTAGCCGAACGCTCCGTGGTCCTGGCATAGACTACCGAAGCATACCTTCAGACACGCTCCTTCTAAGCTCTTTCTACTGGCGTAACCCCTTCTTGAACTTGCGAGACACAGATGGGACGAGAGTACACGCAGCTGCTGCTTCAAAATGCCACTTGAATGGAAAGATTTTTGGGTAGCCCTGTTCTCAAGGTATGTGGAAGCTTGGGTTCGTGGGATTCGTGGGAAGCATGATGCGGTCGTTAGTCAGTCTGTGGCCTTCCGCGATCTGCTGTGCCTGCCCATTGTCACGCCTAGTGGGCCTAGTGATATATAGTCTAGATTTTGATTGCGATAGCGGGATCAGCCCAGCAAGTTACTGGCTTCGAGCTGACTTTCTCTTGCCTTGCCTAGAATGTCAGGGCAGGCAAGGTCTTGCTGGGTTGCCCACAGCATCTACAGCATCGGCTACCCGATGCCAGTACGGCACTCCGCGTGCAAATCTCACGGGCTGCCGGCAGAAAGCTTCCATGCCGTGTTCGTCCTGCACCAGCCCACGCAGGCGATGTGTACAGCGCTGTGCAAGTGACACGGCGCTTTGGCACTGTGATCTTCGACAACTTTTCTCTGCCCTTTCCTGCTCAATGCCTGCAGCTGAGACGGAGATGGTACCGAAAGCAACTCCATGATGCAGCCTGGCAGTCCTAAGCAGATGTATGCGCTCTGCTCTTCGCAGCACCTGTGCGAACCCGGCGTGTCTTCTAGCCTGCAGCGTGCCGCTTACACGTCACTTGTACGCCGCCATCCGAAGCTTGCGCAACCGGCGGCAACAGCGCACTGAGCACCGACCTTACCTAAATCGCCTGGATTCGGCCATGTTGAACCAAGAGAAACCCTCTGTAGGTCAATGATGGAGTCATAAGACGGCTGCGAGCGCGGCCGAACAGTGTCCCACGTGACGTGTCGACACCCGTGCTGTGCTTGGGCCACGCATCCACATCAAGATGGGTCATGGCAACGTTTTCGGGGAATCCATCCTTCTGCCTAAAAGCAGCCTTCAGCCAGATTAGTTGAAGATGTTGAAGCCGTCGACAGCACCTGCCAGCAAGCCCGACGGGTGTGCTCTGGCACTTGGCCGCTCTCAGTCCGTCGACACCGCTCTTGGTTTTTCGTTCCCCTCTCTGTCGCCAGGCCAAGCCCAGCTGGCCCAGCTCGTGTCGAAGTCGCAACTCCGCCGGAAAATTAAAAATTGTCACTTCACTCTGCAGTGCGCAGCCGCGTGCGGGTTGGACCTGTGACCGGACGCCCACCAGCCAGAGCCGGCAGCGTCTCATTCCAGACATGCGAGCTCTCAGCATCTACAGTTTCGGCATGGACGCTGTAAGCTGGATCCACCAACAATGTTCGCCTACCAGTACCTTCATTGATCCGGCTGGGTGCATCGTTTGCTGCAAGAAGCCAAGCGCGATGTACCGAAATCAGAGCTTGGTGTGTAGTGACGTTGATGGCTGGAGGAAGCTTTTGCGGGTGCAGCCGTTTCACAGTGAACCTGCAGGCTGTATCCTGAGCGTGGTCCAGCCGCACAATCCTCCAGTGCCTATGCCACAGGCTATGCAATTTAACCACTTGCACTTCAGGCGTGTCTTGCCCAGGGGCACCCAGCAGTGCCAAGCACTTCTGGATACGAGCCTTGTCTCGGCCGTCACCTCTAACTGTATCAAGCTATTGTGCTTCAAAGATTCTCCTGGTGCTTTGTTGGAATTCCCACCGCGGACATGTGGATTTGCCGTTCTCGCATTGCGACTGGAGCGAGGAGTTTGCCGATTGGGCTGTGCTGCCCGCAAGTGCTCTGGCTGTCCATGTGTAGGCGTGGAGACACGTCGGGGCATGAGCCCCAAACAGTTTGTTGCCTTCTCCTCAGCCCAGGACGTCCAGTAGCGTCCTGCACGGGATGTCTATTTCCAGGTGCCTGCTGCTTCTAAGGCCGGGCTCGCGTCCACGCGAAGTCGCTGCTCCGGGGCTTCGTCGAGACTTGCACCATGCTGTGCCCTGCGTGGCTTCATGGTGACTGAGGCGTCGTGGTCGCTGCGGCCCGAGCCTGCTTCGCCTGGGACTTGCTGCGTGCTGAGGTTCGCGAAAGCTCCAGTGCCGAGTGCACGCCTGACACTGCTTGAAGGCGAGGGGAAGGTAGGGCAACTGCTGCAGGCGCTCGCTTCCCGACCAGTGCTGCGGCAGCAGGTGCTCAGCCCGGAAGCAGTCGTAGCCGTCCGCACCGTCCTTCAGCGGCTGTGGACTGGCACAGGTCGTCGTCGCCAGCTGTGTCCCTTTTGGCAACCTCTAGCGTCGGTTCCACCTGTTGGCAGTTGAGCTACTTGCGACCGCGCAGAGAGAGGTGACATCTTGCAGTTGCTGCCTCTCTGCTAAGTTGCGGGCAGGCCACTTCCACATCATCGAAGCCCGACCGATAGATTCCGACAACACGCTCAGCCTTGCACTTCGGCCTTATACTCACTTGGACGTTGTCATCGCACGATTTGCGTTGACGAGGGTCCCCTTTGCGGGCTTTTGCACGTACATGGATTTCCATTAGCATAGCCTGCCTGCTTGCTGCTGCAGAGTTGTTCGCTCTACCGAGCAGCTGCAAGGCGAACGTCCGAAAGGCAGAGTGCACGTACGGTGGCCGACAAACGCGGCTCTGACGCCCCGATGTTCAAGCTGGGACGCAGGATGATTACCCTTAGCATTTCCAGTCGCGGAGGAGGCTGGGGCCCCTGGGAAGTCGGCCTCAAACGCTCTGGCCGTCACAGCATGCGAATGCCGCGCATCAGGGCTGCCTGGGCGGGGACTCAATCATCCTGCCCTCGCCTTGAGATAGTGCTTCGCACCGGGGTGAACTCTGCAGCGATCTCTACAGCATGAAGGTAGCGCCGTCTCGCAAGATCCTCTTGACCAGTGCTTGGTAACAGTCTGCCTGCTGTTGCACAGTTTGGTTCCGGTCACGGCCTCACTGGATCGACTCGTTTTTCGTTGTTCCAGTGGGGCCTGCTGAGCCCGGTAAGTAGGTTGAGTAGGCTCATGAGGCGTGTCAGTTTTGGTCGCTGCCCACGTGTCTACAGCTCTACCTAGCCAGACATCACTGGGACAGTTTGGGAGTTGCAGCTCGCATGGAGCAGCTGAGCAGGTTGGCCTGCAAACCGGACGTCCCATGATTCTCCCACCCATCTGCCATAGTCGATCTGAAACATGGCCACGGGCGAGTACTCAGTTGCAACAGGAGGTGTCGCATGTCCAGACAGCTTGATGCACTGCAGGACATGTCCGCCCCACTGCTCTTCTATTTTCGTTTCTTTGTCGGCTTAGCCTTCCGACTCCAAGCAGGGCAGCATACGGCTGGAGGATTTGCTGCCGTCGTGTCGTCCTGCCATTGCCGTTCAGAGTGCTCGAAGCAGGCACGGCCTTTGCAGACGTCCATAAAGACACTCAGGGCGGAGCTGATCCGGCTGCTATCGGATGTCTGGGCATCTCGCAACCCACAAGCCGCGGAGTTGCCGAGTCCAGTGAGCGCTCGAAGCCCTTTCCGGAGAGTCACCGGCTTGGTTGGCTTCTGTCCATCCAGGTGCTGTGCGACCTGGTGCAGCAATGCTATGCCAGTTCTAGGCCATACAGCATCCTGATCCTCGGCTTTTACGGTCGAATGCACCCAACACTCACAATGGTTCTGCTACTGTTAAGCGATACATCGCACACTGGATTCGGCATCCCCCACGCATTTGCTAGCCGATCCCTGGCCATCTCCGGTTCCTTGGATTGCAAGTTTGGCTTGCCAGCTTGAGGTCGCAACGGCAAACGCAATGACGACGACGATAAGCAGGTTCAGAGCCGTAAGTCTGAACGGCAAATGAGGGTCACGCCTGCTGAGATTGGATTCCAACATGGTGCCAGAGTCTGTCCATGGCGACAATGCTCGAAGCCCAGGTGATGTGCCAGCTACCAGATGACTCTGGGCTGTCGTAGGTGCAACAAATGGGCCGAAGAAATTGTCAGGACCGCTTGATGGCACATTTGCAGCAACTCTTTGATATGACGAAGGTGCGCATGAATAGACAACTTTGGTCGGTGACGAGAGGCTGAAACTTCATGGCGTTCAATCCCTTCGTTTTGAAGGGAAGGCGTACCGCAGCCTGCAGTCGTGCATGTACCAAATTTCGGTGCACATGTTGGCATGTGATAAACTGAAAGGCTGCAGTAGTCTGAAGATAGCAACTTGCAAGCGGATGCCGTCAACGTAGCCGGATCTGGCAAGTCGCTCGCGTCGCCCTTCTTTTTTCCTCCGCAGATTCAGCTTTGCACGAAGTTGACTCCATCAGAAGCCATACTCGCCTGACTCCTTTTCAAGGTTGAAGCTGGGCACTCCCCCAGGCCCCTAGGTGACAGTGGGCTGTTGTCACATGCTGTTCCGAACGTCATGGATCCACATGTCCTTAGTCCCTCGCTTGCAAGCCCCACCTAGCCCCACGCACAATCAATGTGGACAACGGCAGCAGGTTTCTGCGGGGGAAATTCCTGTGGCGTTCCTGGCATGGGGCTTCTGCGGTGGTGCCCGGATCTGCCGGAAGCAGAAATTCATGAAAGAGGGGTGACAGTCAGACATGGTCAACGGCAAAGCGCTCTTAGATGGCCGCATCGAACCCCTGTGTCCTCTCGATCCGGGCCCAGCATTGCACCTTGCAAGTGTGCATCTGCCAAGCTGGTTGGTAGCTTGACGGCCCCCTTTGCTTGCAAACCGAGGTTGGCCCGCGTGACGGCATATCGCTTGAAGCCTTGGCAAGGTTCCAACTGCCAGGTCATTCCGCGCTGTAATGGCTTCGACAGGCGGGCCCACAAAGCGTGACGACCATCTGTCGTGCACCGCACACTGGATTCGGCATCCTCCATGCATTTGCTAGCCGATCCCTGGCCATCTCCGGTTCCTTGGATTACAAGTTTGGCTTCCCAGCTTGAGGTCGCAACGGCAAACGCAATGACGACGACGATAAGCAGGTTCAGAGCCGTAAGTCTGAATGGCAAATGAGGGTCACGCCTGCTGAGATTGGATTCCAACATGGTGCCAGAGTCTGTCCATGGCGACAATGCTCGAAGCCCAGGTCCTTGCCGTCTCGACAGCGCTCTTGTCAGCGAGACTCGGCTTCAAGGAACCCTGCCTGAAACAGAACCGAACCGACTTAACCCGCCTTCTCAGTGCCACTTGACGAGCGAAAGGTCACTTCAGGAATTTACATCGCCGAAGTGTTACCAGATTCGCTTGAGCATGCCACACGACTCGGCACCCAGCAAGCGTTGATTGCAGCATGCCTGGCTATGCTCACCACGCCGACATGTGCAACCTTCATGCCACAGACTCAGCTGTTTCTGTTCTCGGGGCTTCGGCAGTTCTTTCTGCTGTAATTTGTCAGTTCTGGGTATTCCGGGTAGTCACTTGTCGGCATGAGGCCCTGCTGGCTCGACGAACCCACTTACTGACGTACTGTCGACAGCAGGGTCAATGTTCTTTTTCGGCATGTCGCTGATCCGAGCATTGCGGTAGCCTGTCCCGGCAGATCTGACGGCAGCGCTTTGTGTGCTTCCCATGCACCACCGCCAGGCGACGCCAGCTGTCAGTAATCCTGTGTCTTCTTCTGTTGAGAGGACCTTTGGGATCTCTCCGACCTTCTGCACTGGTAGCCACTTATCGGCATGAGGGCCTTACTGACACACTGCCGACAGCGGGTCTTTCGGCATGTCGCTGATCCAAGCATGGCAGTAGCCTGTCCCGGCAGATCTGACGGGTGCACACCTCATCATCGCAGCGCTTTGTGTGCTTCCCATGCAACACCGCCATGCGGCGCCAGCTGTCAGTAATCCTGTGTCTTCTGTTGAGGGTACCTTTGGCATTTCTCCGACTTCAGTCGAGAAGTCGCAAGTGTCAACAGCACTCCGACTGCCCCGGCTTCCGGCTAAGCCATGCCACGCTTTTGGCTCGATGATGCAGCGACCCCTTGCAGTTTCATCACGCGGCTTTCGGAGGACAGGCTGCAACATCCCGGCCGCCGACTCGAAAACCATACAGCGGGTAGCCCTGTTGAAGCGCCTAGTCCTTGCATGCTTAGAAGCCTCGAGTGGCTCCCAGATCTGCCCAAGCGCATCGCCGAGCTTTCTCTAACTCTGCAACACGGCCTCCAAAAGTGCTTGCAGCGAGAGTCACGCTCCAGTTTGCATTCGCGATCCCTTGGACACGTCAGCTGCGTAGCATACCACGACATTCTCGTAATGCTTGTAGCCGGCATTTGAAGATGCATCCGAAGTGGACGCTTGAGAAAGGACCCCTTGACGCGTTCTGCAGATGTCTGGTGAGAACGAACGCTTGCCAACACTAGTAGTTTTGCGCATGAGGGGGGGCAGGCAGGGAAGCTGTGAGTAGCCCCCGATTGGTCAAAGCGTGTACCTGCCGGTGGAGTCTGCGTTGGGCATCCGGAAGCTGTGTTCTGCAACCATCCACCACCCTAAACCTCCCCACGCCGCAAGCTTCGGAAGTTGTGTCTGGGTCAAGTTTGGTCTAGGCGCGCCACAGGCGGACTCGGCCCTTCTTGTCGCGACAGCGGCGACTTCGAGTTTCCACCGTGCACATCTTGTGCGACCACCTCCGCGTTACTTAGCGGCTACATGATAAGATCCTCGTTGATTCCTGCCTCTCACAAGTGCGCTTCTAGGGTAGGTTGGTATTCCAAAATGCAAACTCAGCAAAGAAGTGTGCAGCGTTTGACCAACTGCTCTCCACCGTCCGTGTACCTCCTGTCAGTGGCACAGGAAAGCACTGCCTCTGCTGCTGAATGTCATGCGACGGAAATGAATTTTGATGTTTTGTGCAGATATCTTCTGTAAGCGTGCGCCAGCTTCGCATG